AAAAAAAAAAAAAAAAAAAGAGAGAGAAGGTAATAGGTTGGTAATTGTGGAATGAGAGAGAGAGAGAGAGTAATATACAAGGGAACATCCCTTGAGAGAAATTTCCACAAGACAGTTGTGTGAGAGAAAAGGGATCAAATCAAAAAATGAAATTGAAAATTCAAATTGGAGGAAAACTTCTGTCTACGATAAAAATTAATCTCGGATAAATGAGCTAATTGTTCGCTTATAAAAAGAAATACGCGTACAAAATAACTGAGAAAAGTCGGAAAAACACTTTTTACTTTTAGCCCTTGCAACTCGATTTGTTCCCAACGTTGTTGCGCGTTCGCTCGTATTTATTTTAAAGTGAATTACAACGGTGAAGTTTAATGTTTTTTTTTTTATTTATTATTAATTTTCAAGACAATTTCCAAATTTCCATTGTCACTTCGTCAGCGTGACGTATGAGTTCCAAGGGTTAAAAATTAATATTTACCGTGAATAATAAAACTTTTTTACATGTATTTTAATTTAATTTAATTTAATTTAATTTAATACAGAGTTGTTAACAAGTAAAATAACCCTCCTGATCCTGATAGTGAGAAATGCTGGTAAATATAACCTATTTTGAACGGCGCTGTACAACGAAAGGAAGTCACGAGAAAAGCGCGGAAAATAAAAAAAAAAAAATGCGGGACAAGCGAACGACGTGACATTGTTATCGATGATTCTGCTAAATATCCTCGCGCATTCTCGATCCTGGCCGCGTAAATCAATCTGGGAAACAACCGGGAATCTCGATGAGCTATGCTGCCTTACACCAAGCATTTTTTATCTCTTTCTCTCCTCCTCTACCCCCTCCACACTCCACTCAACTTCTGCTTAAATGAATATAATGAAAAGGCATGGAGAGAGGGGTAACTGGGTCGATCAGCTCCTCCCCTCTCCGCCCCCGAGTTTAACATTCACAGATCAAAGTTTATTAATTTCGTTTCAACTTCGAAGACAATTAAAAGTTCAGGACCCCTTGGTAGCGCTCTGATAACTTATCCAAGTAATTATTTAATCGCTGATAATTACTTTAACGTCGACGAATCCGCGAGTTTCGTTTCAATTCACATACCCCGTTTACAAAGTGCAAGTTGAATATTTCAGGATTGTAATGCTGACGCAATTTAATTTCATTTCCTCTTTTTTTTGGTGTCAAAAACTTTATTTGGCATCATTGAGTCACTGGTAGCAACAATTTGGTAGTTACTTGGAATGTTTAATTTATGTTAATGTAATAATTGAAGAATTTTTAATTTAATAGAAGTTGAAATGTAACATCATAAATTTTAGTAATCTGACGTAAATTACAGTGCCAATTAAATAAAGTATTATTATTAAAACTCTTCAGTTGACTTCTGATGACAAAAAAATATTCAAACAAAATATTCTTTCATATAAAGAGACGCATTTCAGTAGCATTGAATGGACATGTGATAATTTAATTTATTTGTATGTGTATAATTTTAATGCTATTTCAAGCTACATGTGTAACATTTTATAGAAACGAGTGAAAAGAAGTAGAATTCACTGATTTTAATTAGTCCCTTGAAATTTTGCAATTTCCACGTATGGAAGCTATTTGTTCGAATGAATTTTTCTCTTAACAAGCAGTTATTATGTTGGAAACTTAATTTTGGACTAATTGGTAAATTTGGAGATAAAATAGTAAAATGATGAATCTTATGAGAAGAACAGCTTGAAACGTTTATTTAAATACATATTTGTACAATAAGAAGGCAATTAAATGCTCTGCAGTGAGTACCTTTTCAAAAAGGAACATAATTTTAAATGTGCCATGGAAACTAAGTGGTGAAAAACAATGAGATCAAACATTCTTCTTTCCATGGTACAATGTGCACAGTTATACTTGCATGAGTTTATATAAAAAAATTAGAAGTGAACAGGTATGAAAATTATTGTGCGTTTCTATCGGTATTTTTTTTCTTTTTGTTTTAAAGTTTTCTTTTGGTCCCAAGAAAATTTTGAACACGTAATTATATAAATTAGAAACGGAAAAAAATTCAGATGCTAAATTAAAAATAGGTACTCTTCATACATTTTAAAAACTAAAAGAATTAAAATCGATGCTTTAGCTCAGATAATTCTGTATGTACAACCTGCTTTTTTAACTTTAAAAAAACGACACCACAACTATCTGTTAATTAATACAGGCTTCATATCAAATCAAAAAGAGAAGACAATTCAGTAGTGCCGTGAGAGAGTTTGTAGTTCCACTAAGAAGTAATATACATATATATTTATACGCTTTGTGCAGTCACGAAAATCTGCTACGATATTTCATAATTCTTATGTTAAATATTATCACTGGTCTTTACAATATTTCTTATGTTAAATATTATCACTGGTCTTTACAATATTTCACACATCGATATAATTTAAGCCGGTGTATATAATATCAATGGACATCCTCTCTGGATGTGCTGTTGTACCTCCCCTAATTAGATCCAAATTTCACTATTAATTTTACATTTCCAATGATTTCACAACTATTCTTGGTATTTTCAGTTCTTCGTAAACACAACTTTGTAAATGTTTATAAATAACAATCAGAAAACTAACTACAAAGAAGTAATTACTAAAGGTGACAAAATTCATGAGAAACCGATACTTGTTTAAAATATTGCTCTCACCTAGCCTTAATAAAATGACTAACGTAAACATGATTAAACTATAAAAATATTTAACACTGATATTAACAATAAATATTCTTTGACAATTTCACAAAGAAATGATCTAGAGGAGAAACATAGAATTCTGTTTTACAAATTCTGATACAAATGCCTAATTATATATGTATATATACACAGAATTGAAAATGCCAATGTTTATTTGCACAATAACAATTACTCTAAATAGGCTATTGTTATCTTTCTAACACTACAGCTAAGACCAAGAGAACCATGACCGAGTAGACTGTGTGGGGGATTTAGGCAATGGCGAAGGTGGCACCGATGAAGTTGGTGTTGTTGGTGTAGGCAGTTTTTCGTTATTCATATTTCTGAGTCGCACTTTTTCGTTAGTTTCGGATTGCATCTTTTGTTCGTACTGTCGAACATCCTCTAGTGTCATATCGTACCACTCATCGATCCACGCAAACGCTTGACGATGACCCAATAATAAAATATCCCTTATACACTGCAGATGTAAGAGCAACAATATTACAGTTGCACATTTTTATAGTTTAAATACTCTACAAATATTTGTAAGTAAATTACTCTATGAATGAAGTCTTCCACACGAGTTTGCATGCCCCATACTTCAAAAGAGGCCTGAACTAGTTTGTAGGAACACATTATAGGTTGTGTGGTGTCTCTCCACCCCTCTACCAACGGCCCACGACCAGTTCGTTGCGATTGAAAGAATTTTGGGTCCTAAAGTAAAGATATCTCAATGCAAACATTTCTATCCCAAAATCGAAGTGTTGCAACGACTATAATACCTCTTCCTCTTTATAGTGTTTCGAAGATAATTCATCATACGCAATGTCCACAAAATCAATCTCACGATGAATCAGTTCGATAGGAGACAGACCTAAGCACTATTTTAACAGCGTTGTAAATAACTACCTCTATTTACGCATAAAACTCATTTACATACATTTTCTGTGGACCCATTGTTATCCTCATATCGCGTTCTTATCGAGATGTGAAATTTTGGAATAAAAGAACACTGGAAAGTAAATGTTTATGTTACAAGAGACCTCACACAAAGTTACAACATATATACTTACAGTATATTCTTGGTAGACCATAAGTATCATGAAAAAGAAAGCCATATTATTTAATGAGTCAAAAATTTGTGAATTCTATTTGAATATTTGCGAAATTTATGAATATTTGTGAATTGTACTTGACAAAATATTATCTATATTTAGATATACCTGTGATAGTAAAGGGATAATAATTCCATGCCTTCTCTGTGACATAGAATATTCGTGGAATGACCGATTGAATCCAATATGGCAACTTACTGCAAATTCACGCCAAAAATATCAGATATCAACCTCCATGAGAGTTTGAGCACAGAAATGTAAAAACTATCATGAAGATTACCTAGACAAAAGGATCCGTTTCTCTGTATATTGGCCTTTTCCATGCTCTTGATGTTCACACTCAACATTTTCAACTACTTCAACGCCTTCATCATTATCTGATTGCTCGTGACTGTGTCTTGCAATCATATAAAGCTGCCCTATGCGATACTACAAAGAATATTGCTAAATATGAAATATGAACTGTGATCCTAATTGTATTTCGTCAAGCGTTGGCAAAGAATATTAACTGGCAGAGTGAAAATTTACAACGAAATATCATTGAAAAAACTTTGAAGCAATACGTAGAAAGAATATGAGTATGGAAAAGTGTGGTAATGATTTACATTAAAAATTCAAGAAGAATTACCTCTTCCGTGGTAAGCGGCATGCATATACGATATTCCTTCGTTAATACCATATTTGAAACGAGAATCTGACAACCCTCTATGACTGCATTAAATTAATACTCGCTTCTGGAATTACGGTTCTCTCCTTAGCTAATGAATTCAAAGTTAATGATATCGTCATTTAAATAGCAGTTTCACTAGCCTGAAGCGATGGAGCAATAAACAATCGAATTCAATGAAGTTCGTCCTCTGTCCTTAAATCGATAATAATGCTTGACACCTTAAATAAGTGGTAATGTAACTAGAGGTGTGGCGATAAAAAAGGATGCCAACCACTTGAATTATTTAACGATAAATTACGAACGACTAAATACCTTTTCCCAGTTAATTACGTTCGTTTCCTTGTGATGCCAAAAAAAATCTTTATTTAAGTCTAATATTTATTAAATGAAATACACTGTTAAAAAATAAATTATTTAAGATAAACAACAATTAAGTATCCACATGTTTTTGCAATTCCTTCTGATGCTATTCCAAAGTCTATAACGTGTTAAGTGCAGTGAATTGTGTTACCTTGTAACATGCAATAAAACATAACCTAAAAGTCACTAAAACAAATATATGATGCGTCCGCAAAAGTTTCGACTTCCATGCAGTGCAGAAAGGTGATTAAATGAAGGAAATTCACGTTTTTTTTTTTAGGTTCCATTAATTTGTAAATTTGTCGCTTAATAATAATAAATACGAACTACATAAAAATAATTTGTTTTCTTTTTTCAATATTAATGACAACGTTCAATATCTTCCTTTTAGGTTTATACACACCGACAAAAAAGTAGTAATAGTATCTGTGTTTGGAAAATCACAATATCGTGCAAAAGGATGCAAGACCAACATGCTCAGTTCGATACTGCAGGTGGGCCTCCTGGATGAACCAGAAGTGAATAAAGAATCATTTGTAAGAATTTCTGCAAACACAACGGAATCTTTGAAATGATTTCTATGAAAATAATATAAATGAAACTATTTTCAGTGTGAAATTGAGGGGTATTATGATTCAAAAGATAGGACTATATACTTGCATTTAAGAGGACTATTAGACACACATACTCTTTTAACAGAATATGATAAGTTCGTAGAGAGACAAGACTGTAAAGATTTCCTTAGTGTGTGGGCACACATGAGAGACAAATATGCAAGAGCATTGCTTGTAATGTTTCATATATCGCATGTTATTATTCTCACTCATCCAACTCACACATTTGACTACAGTTATGTACATTTATTCAGGGCTATGGATATTGTGAGGTATATATTAATCTTTTTGATGAATATACTATCTTGTGATCTTAAATACAAACACATGTTTTGATTTTTAGACAGAAAGTTTCTCCACAGCTGTCCGATGTTTTAAGCTGCATATACAGCTTACCTAAAGATTGGATTTCAAATGTTAGACCGTGTTCCCCAAGAGTTTTATTTTACTTTGAAACTTGTCCCACTGTATTTCAAGATGCTACCAATGGAGCTAATATTAAGAAATTAGAGCATTCTTTGGAAGATCAAATATATCAAGTATTGAGGAAAAACCGTATAGTAACTAATATTAGGTAAATATAAACACTAGGGGTAAATAAACAGGACTCAAGAATTATTTAATTCAATGTATAAAATATGTGGATGGATTTTTAGTTCAAATTCGCTGTTTGCAATTCCTGCAAACCAAGAATTTGTTTATGTACATACTGGTACAATAGAATCTAGAGATATTCTAGGATACATGGCGAAAAAACTCATACAGAGTTGCAAAGTTAGCTCTGGAGGAAGCACTTCAAGAAGTTTGGCCAGTCAGGATTCCAACATTCAAATAGATGATACAGAAACTGGTAAATATAATATATAAAATTAAAACCAGTTAATAAAACTAATAATAATTTTTTCTGTGTTCATAGAAACCCGTTCCTTCAGATCATTTCTACAACAACACATAAACTTAGCTTTTGCAAGGGGTTTTGATGATAATGTTGGAAGACACTCTGTACCTGCATATTTTGAGGTCAGTCCAAAAAAACAAAAACAACTATAATTTCACACTTAATTCTCTTCTAACTTTAATTTTTCTCTTATTAGATACCAAATGTCACAATATTTTGTGAAGTAGCAAACAAAGTATATAATTATTTTATATATGGGACAGATAAAGAACTACTAACATTACATAGCTTGTTGGATACTGACGTAAAGTTCAGCAAGAGCAGGTGCAGCAAAGTACTGCCCAGAGCTCTTCAGACTTACCAAGAAAATCTTCCACAACATTACACAAGGTATCTAAGACTTTCAAGAGGAAATTTCTATAAAATAATCCTTCAATATTTACACCAGAGCGTATCACGAGACAAAATTGGCTCATGCAATGGCGGTTTTCGAGATGCATGCACGAGGTCCGTTGTTCGAAGAGTTCAGTGAAAAACTACAGGCCGAATGTGAAAAACATTGGAGATCTGGCAGACAGATGTGCGAGGTACTATCTCTGACAGGAAATCCCTGTACTAATCCGATACATAGAGGCGGAAGTGAAGGTGCTGGTGGCGGGGAGCAGACGGAACAAAGGGACAGCGACAAGTGTGTGTCGCTTGGAAAATGATTTATTATCTTTCATTACCCATTATGTAACTCTAATTTGAGGCTGTGTCACTTTACAGCGATTTACCAATCAGAGAGCATTGCAGTGGAGTTCGATATATCTGTGCTTGCAATTGTGGTCGTTGTCAAGGTTCGAGGGAGGACCCTTTCAGTTTGAGGCAGGCCAACTACGATTACTTTCAAATGCTGGCTAAACAGTGTGCTTGTGCTCAGTTGGAAAGTATACAATTTCCCGTTTTTCAACCAAGCACGCACAATTATAGGTAAAATACGTATGATAATACTAACAGTCTTTTACGTGTTTCAAAGTTTGAGTAATCGTGTGTTTGTTCTCGTTGCAGACCTGCACAGTTGTTTTCTACCAAACGAAAGGATTCTTTCAGTCATGTGGAGTCTCCAACGTCTCAAGGAAATACTCAAGCTTGTAGTTTAGGAGTCAATACTTTACATGGTAATTATCGCTTCTTTAGTAAAAAGCTTTTTATAGCTTAAAATATTTGTTTAAAAACTTTTTGATAAACAAATTTCTTGGAATTTTCTCAGACGATATTCGGACACCATATGGAAGCGGAGGTCAATCACCTCCAACAAGTGAAACTAATGAAGATGTACCTAAACTCAGTAGTAAAACTAGTCTAACACCTAGTGATGCCCATAAAGTTGTTATAGAAGTATCGGATAGCGATGCGGAAAATGCGAAAGGTAATTCACTATAAAAATTGATTACAACGTTGCATATCAAACATTGTATTTCAATATTTTTGATATTTTCAATTTTATAGAAAAGTCTTTAGTCAGGCAACCATCAACAACAGAATATCTACCAGGGATGTTACATACAGAATCACCAGCTGGTTTATTACCACAGTTCTCTAGTTGGTCCCTAGTATGTCTTGGACCAAGTAGTCTATATTCTCATAACTTGGGTTTACAGCATCAGGCTGGTGTTTTACCTACTTCTGCTTTCCTCTTACCTTGGGATGTGACTGTGAGGTAATTTAACATTTGTATTTGTCGTTAAATTGGATTTAATACGTAGAAATTAATTTTTGGTTAGATTAGAGCATCAAAAAGAAAGGGGCTCTTTATGGTCAACCATAGGTGACCATGGAACTCATGGTTATTGTCCCAGAGGGAAAAACTTTCAAAATATGAATACTATTCGTGGCCGGAAATCAAAAGGTGGAAAAGAGTTCGTGGTGAAGATATTTGTGGGGGTGGAGTACGAATGTCCAAGAGGGCACAGATTTATGGCGTCTGCGCCAGATAAAGTTTTAAAAGCCACCGGAAATGGTATTGTGAAAGATAGTGGAAATAAAGTTACATCCAGCACTGCAGATATGCCGCTCTATTTCCCCTGCCCTTGCAGGTACATGAATATTTAAGAAATTAATTGGATTTAAAAAATGTTGAATTTATTTCGAAATTTTTAGACAAACGAAGCCCCTGATAGCCCAATTAATGAGAATTCACGTAGTGACACCAAAAGCTCCTGTTCACGTTACGTTAAATCCGAGAGTACAACCTGGACCCCCACCTTGCCCAATTTTCGTCACTGGTTGTGATGAACCGATAAAATTATCGCAAAGTGCCTACTGGGTCTTGAGATTACCGTATCCTTTGAAAATTAATATCTATGTTGTATGTGAATATAACTATACGTAATATTAGTATATTATAATTTTTGTAAAACGATTTAAATAAATTCTTAACGAAAATTTAAAATTAGATATGTATATATGGACGAGAAAGGACCATATTTGGCGCCAAAAGAACCGGTACCTACGTCACATGGCAGGCTATTGGCGGGAATGTACGGGATTAGCGAAGTACTTCCGGAAAAGAAATAACGCAGTATTCGATTTTTTAAATTAAAAAATGATTTGTACGAAACTTGTAAATTACTTTTTGTAAATATACCAAAAATAACCAAAATTTAATTAATTTTTAATCTCAGTCAATATATATATTAATATGTCTCGCTTTTTGATTGAATCTGACTAGCGTAGTCAGTCCAAGTGTAACGACCAATTTGAAAATGGCCATTAATTCAAAACTGGTCAAAGACAATTAGTTTTTGTAATTATAATTTTCCAGTTAATTATTATTTGCTTATATCTATACACTGTAGTACTTTTAATTACTGTGCTTCAAATTCTTCAAAGTTACAAAAGAATTTTTGCAATGGCGTCTTTTATTTGATAGTACACCTCAAATTTCAAAGAATGCGTAATATACGTACACTTAGTATTCACATATTATTTGCTAAAAGATTAATCTAAAGTGATATTAATGATCTCTGACTTACCAAAACTAGACGCAGAGTATTTTAATGTCTTCCGTGAGCACTTTCAACACTATTTTTTGTACAATTAATTTAAAAAATTGTTAATTCGCGACGAGCACATCGATAAACGTATATGCTGTACTGCGTGCGACGCGAAACTGATCTGCGCAGACAGTTTAATAACCGGGAAGCACTTTAATTGGTTCATTCAAAGGACTGCGCGAATGACGTAATAAAAACGAGCTTTTGATTGGTTGATGCTGAACTGTATACTGTAAAAATTCAAATCGTTCAGTATCATATCTATTTAATGTAATTTATTATTATATTAAAAGATCAATATATACATAGTATTTAAATCGCATATTATAATAAATCTTTATGATTTTTTAAATCAATTCACGAGATTGATTGAAAGTCAAAAGGAAATTATATAATAAAATAGAATTTCACTTTTGAATTTCTCCGCCATTGGACCGTAGCGCTACGACTGTTACAAGGTACGAAGTATAATCGTAACGAGAAAAAATATTTTATTATTGAATTCACACGTGAAGCTATTTTCGTCTGTCACTAATGTTATGAAATTTTTGGTGATATGAATGAAATATTTTTTTGTTCAAGATGACATTAAAAATGATTTTACCAGTAATGTGCTTGTAACATTATGAGAAAAAATTTATTATTTTTAATAGCATGTACGTATGTAACTTTTGTAACTTTTCATTTTTATTTTGATTAATTCCCTCTCGTTCAGTGTCGTTCAGAACGTTAATTTCTTCTATTTTCTAATTTTTATTTTATGTAAACTGTAATACTCAATTAATATTTTATAAATAATATCAAGTGTTAAATTTTGTCATTTTTTCAGAGAGAACAAAACAAAATGGTGCCTACACGTTTGTTGATATTTTTCTTTGTGTCAATAATTAATCAAGGTGGTTATGCTTCAGTATTTGAGTGGATTTGGAGCAAAAATACAGATGATACTACTGTCTTAGTGGCAGATGGTGTCCCATTGGTCTCAATTCCATATGAATCTATGACAGAAGATGAAAAGTTCCTTCAGGAAGCTGCAAAATTTACAGAAATACAAGTGTCATCGCCTTTGGAAACATGCCAACACAAAGTTATTATGAAGGTTAAAACTTCTTGCTCTGAGATGAGCGAGGAACAACTTGCTAAACTTAGTGTTAATCTTTTGAATTGTCAGTCTGCAGTAGAAGGCAGGAAAATATTCCCATGCACCGCTGAAATGGTAAAAATTTCATTATTTTTTTTTATAACAAATTTTTAAGTCAATGTCAAAACTGAGTTTTCAAAACTTCAGCTTTTTTTCACTTACAATTTTGAATATGTAATTTCTAAATTACATATTCTTCTTTTCAACTTTGTTTTGTTAATGACATTATGCATTAAGATATGGGATAGAATTCAACTGTACAAACACTTATAAATGTATATCACAGTTCTTTGTGTGTGAAAACACATATGGGAAGCTGGTCTAAAGCATGTTCAGACTTGCATTTTTTCCCCACTCAACAGGCAGACCACCACTAAGACAGACCTCCACTAGCACAGTTTCTGTTTGTAGATGGAAGTGATCAGTTGGACAAGTTTACATGTTCCAAAAACTTATTATTTTAATTAATTGTATATAAAAGTGAATAGTGCAGCAGTTATTATAGCAATTCTTCTATTAGAAATATATAGAATGATTATTTAAATTTTTACAGTCACTGAAACAATGTACCACAGACATGGATGCGGATATGTGGAATGCATATCATTTAATGAGTAATAGAGCCAGAGCAGTTTGTTATGCAGCTCGTAGCACTCAGTTTCGTGCTCTTACAGAATTGACTGTAAACAAATTAATGCAATCTGCACATACCCAGATTAAAACACTAAGTTCGTTAAAAGTGAGTAAGATAGTATATACGAGTTGCAGAGAAAAATATTAGTCTGTTATTTAATATTTATTCAGGAAGGTCAAGACCGTTTAGAAGAACAGACTGTACAAGCCTTGTTAGCTTTGTCAAAAGGTAATAAAGCATTGCTAGAACAGCAAAAACTATTAAAAGAAGCACAAACATCTGCTTATAATCTCGTGACAACAAATTTGAGAGAATTGAACAACGAAAAGGCTTTGATTAGATCTGGACATGCACAACTTGCAATAATGGCAGACGATATTAGGAAAAAATTAGGTAATTAATTAAATGAATCAAAATATATATCTGACTTGTACTTATTTAGTTAATTCAATTGTTTTATAGAAGAGGCAAATAAACGCTTGGAATATCAAACTATTGAAATGAAGGAAAACCATAATGAAATATTAGAAGATCTGTACAGTGTTCAAGAACAAGCACAATTGATGTGGGATAAGATAGAAGCCAGCACACATAAGATTTTCGACCACCATGAAGCAACACTTGTTCGATATGAACAGAGTTTAGAAAAATTAAATGAAATTAACAACACTGTTCAATATATTTGGAATCTAACAAATAGCATGCGTGCAGAGGTGGATGAGAAACTCAATTGGTTGACCAGTTACATTGGTGACACTGGTAATTTTGAAATCTATAAATATTGATAACATGAAAAAAATATAACTAAATTTTTTAAATTTTTAGGAGAACAAATGTATCAAATATATCGTGTAGGCTTGCACATTGTTTACTTATTATTTGCTATGGTGATTGCTGCGTTCCTTCATGCGCCATTATTGACTAGAATTACTATTATGGGACTCGTACCATTAAACTTAGTGTCTTTCTTGAAACATGGCATGGATGCTTGTTTGGATTTTGTATCAATAAGTGTATTAATATTTTTAATCACGATGAGTATGTATTTTCTAAAAAAATATTTTGAAAATTTAGTATATAATTTTAATTTCTTTTTCTCGTAGTGCATTTTTTAATGATTGGAATTCAACGTTTATGCGGTGCAAAAAGGACAAACCTGATTCAAGTCAAAAACCAAAATGGATCTGCTCAATCACCACGTGTCTTTTTAATATCTTTCTATGTAAATCTGAAGACAAATATTTGGAAAATTTATGCTTTTGTCCGTTACCAAATAAATCAATCTATCCGTAAGTTCTATAGTAACAGTGTTCTATTCTATGTTTTTGTTTCTGATTAAAATAATTAATTCCAATTTTCAGAAAAATTTAACTCGCTGATACAAGCAGCAGCTTCATGGAACAGGCAAAGTTTGACACAACGCGAGGAATTGTCTTGTTCGTATATTTCTTCGAGGAGAAATCAGGAAGATCTTGTTCGTAATTATAAACAAGAGTTTTCAACTATATCTGAAGATGTCAGCGATTTCGAACATTCGAACTTAATGGATAGGAGTATCGATGATTTTGACTATTTAGTCGATGCCAATGATCTAAGGCGGAGATTAAAGAGAAGAGATGGTTCCGTCGGCAGATCTTCTTATTCTTATCAACATTCACCCTCTAGGAGGTATATGAAACTTAAAAGTAACTAAAAAATAGCATATTACATATTGTTACAGTAGGATTTAATAAAATGATTTCAGTGTAACTCCAACAAGAATGCTATGTAATGCTACGACAAAGAGTGGCAAAAAATGTCGATTATTTACAATGAATGGACATAGGTATTGTAATAGACATTCCAATGGAAGCTCAATAGGTGATTGAAAATTTTTTTAGCACAATGATAAGTTAGTTAAGTAAGTTAAATGAAATTATATTACATTAATTGAACTGAATGTTTTAAAATAATATTCTTAATGAATTGCATGGTTCAATGTAATTGTTTTGTTGATCAATTGTATAATTTATTAACATTATAAATGTCCACGATTTTAACGCCAATACCATGCCTTTCAAGAGTATGATTCATACTCTTGCATAAAAAACTTTATAATAAAATGGTGTATATATTTCATATTTTGAATGGGACGAATTAAATAAGAATTATAATACATATAAGCAGCTATTGCTAGTGTATTTTATATGTCCTGTATTTGTAAGAAACATACATTTTACATTAAATATGATTATAATTTAATTTATTTTTGTAAACTCGTTGTAAAAATAATATTAATAAAACAATTGAAATATATAGGTATTTTATTTAAAAATATTCATAAACATATTTATTAATTAAATGAAAATATTTCATAAATAGTAAAGTAGATAAAAATAATATTTTCAATTACAAACAGCCATATTGTATTGGGTACATACTGCATTAGTCGTCAGTTCTAAAAACTTTGAACTTTTATCAAACCCAATTTCAGTAACTAAATTGTGTAGATTACAGTAATTTATTCCATAATCGAATATTCTGAACCATTCATTTGATACGGATTTCCCCTTTAATAATGAGAAATAATTTTAAAAATTATCATTAAAATTATTATTAAAAAATTGAATATACCGTTGCTACGCAGGTTTTATTAATTTCTTCAAAATCAATTTTTATTGTTTCCATAGTCTTCATATTTGAAACAAAATGAGTAGCTTTAATTATAGTACTTTCATTTGGTTTCGGTTCCTTGAGCTATAACCAATGTGTATAATATTACATAATTCTAAAAGTATATTCTGCTGTATTTTCAAAATTAAAATGTTTCGATATTAAAAGTTATTTTTTCTACCGTATATAAACATTTGCTACTATGTGGACCACAGTTCATGTAGGACGACCAATTAAGTATTTGAGATCTAAATTTTTGCATAACATATTTGCATGGATCTTCAAATTTCCTATTAAAGAAAATAATAAATTATTTTAAAAAATTGTTTGTTAAAAAATTATTTGGAGATCAAGTAAAATTCCTACGATTGTCTATTAAATTGGATAAGATATATTTAATTTCAAATCGACTGTTTTATTCGTGAAAATTTATTATCGTCTTTTGGCAGCGTGGAAGTTCAAAGGGGAGCACCGAAATAACATACGCGACATTCTCATGAGCTTGAAAAGTGCGGTTCGTATATTTTTCAAGCGGTGTCGTCCAGCCAAAGAAAAATATACGAATCCCACCATTGCCGGCCAATATTCAGTTTTTCTACGTACAAGATTGTTTGCGGAGTAGATGTTATCTTAAAACATATTTTTCTCAAACTTTTAGGATTATAGACAGAGGATTATAGTGCTCCACTTGATGCTACAGCACTCTTGGTTACAAGAATGAACAGTGTAAATGACAAGATGCTGATAATCCATGAATCATATAATCATTCAAAATAGTGAGAAAATTTTATAGAAAAAACAAATTTGAACAACAAAATTAATTATAAATAGATTCCTATTTCTACATAAGTATAAAGAGTTGAAATACCATTTTACAATGCAAGAAGCATGCATAGGATAAGGAAACACCAGGCTAATCCAGACAACACACAAGAGAATTATCAAGAATCCACTGACAGAATAGACAAAGCATTTACATTTTGGAAAGATACATACATCTTTAACTATCACTGGTGGTGGATTGTCCTCCTCTTTTACTCTGGTTTTACTTTGACCTTTGATTTTTAAAGAAGGATTAATCTTTAAAGCTTTCAAAATCAAAGCGGATAAAGAGAATGAGATTGCAAAAGGAATATCATGAAAGTAAAAATGAGTTTGAAGAGGACCATTTTGTTTTCTCGTCGTGGAGACATTCTGCGAGTTCATGAATCTCTTTTTATCGTGCATGTAAAGTGGTAGTCGCCTCATTGACCTGAGCTCCATGTTACGATTTGCGCGCCACGGATGTTCCAATCTTCTTGACGTTTTTCTTTGACCATCACAAATCTATCGTCTTTCGGCAGAAAGAGGAGAAAACAATGAACTAACGGTACCTGAAATTTGTCAGGGAAAATGACGATGTACGACTCTCATGTTTCATTCTCTAACAACTTTGCTATGTGCTTTAAAAATTAATTTGATATTGAAATTTTATCTTTCTTCGGAATATTACAGAATTCGTATTTCTATAATTGAGAGATTTGCATCAGACCAATCTGAAATGCTACATTTATCTGCAGTCGCTTTCTCAAGAGAGTAGATTGAATCATTTTCTTTCTGTGTCCGTTAACACATATTCAGTGAATACTATCTACCAAATAGAAGCCATAAGTGTACTCTATTCTTCCTTTTCTTTTTCTTCGCTTGATTTTCATTCTTATGATCTTGGTACTTTGTCTTTCTACAATATAAAAATTATTTTTAAATATTAAAAATAATACAATTTAATATTATTATTTTATTAATAATAATGTAATTTAATATTATATTATTTTTAAATATTAAAAATAATAATATAATATAATTTCTACAATATTAAAATATATTTCTAGTTACTAAAAATTTAATGACTGTTTTTCAATTTCTAGGTTTTAGTTTTTTTTTTTTTTCTATTCGAAGGTTTTACTTCACTTTCTTAGAATGTAAAAAAAGAAGCATGTTCAGAGAGACGTCCGACAATGTGACACGCTTTGATGTTCTTCAACACTCGTACAAATGTATTTCTTTGAATTGAAGATCCCGCCAGTTCCGATTCAAATTAGTAAATTATATACATATTATGTAGTCGAAAATGGCGGTTGGATGTCGACGAAATTGAAACGGAAGAAAGTTGACGGGCAGATGGATGGTCCGTTTGTCGCGACGCCGCTTGTAACAATTGTTCCTGTTGAAAAAGAAATCTTTGTCAGCTATAATTAATTTCATTCCGTTCCTTTCGTATTCTGCGTAAAGAACAAATTCCGGTATAGATTTTCTAAAAGTAACTGCGATTATGAAATTGAAATAAAAAATTATAAAATGATGATTTTATAAATTATAATCAATTATAAAAATGATGAATTTATAAATTATATAATTAAATAAATTAGAATTTTATAAATCATATGATTATAATTAAAAATTATAATTTATAAGTTACATAATAATTTGAAAAATTATAAAATGCGCGCGTAATTGTTTTTAACTGAGATGAAGATTACAGCGCCAAACGAAGTGGTGAAAATATGTAATTAGCTGTTGCGATTCTCGAATCGATATCATTTTTCGTCATTTCGATCCAACCGTTAGTTTTAAGTGGGAAGCAGAGTAAGAAACATTGTCCCGGGTTCCTCAGGTAAAAATCTACAGTTAATAACTTTTATACTTGATTTGCATTTTTAAACACGTCTACAATTTCGAACAATCAGTGTAAAGAATTATGTTAGTAAAGAATTATTACATATATATGTTGAATTCAAATCATTGACGTTGATTAGAAGTGAACGTACGTGTTTGCGTTGGTTACAAATGTACGCGTATACGTGTATAATTATTAAGATAGTATCGTTTTTAATTACATTTATATTGAGTTGAATTGGATTGATTCTGTTCGATCAACCGAAATTGGCGCGTAAGCATATATAAATATTTTCTGTGAAGGCTCTACCGTATACAATATATATATGTATATTTAGACACGCTCTACCGTTAATCAGCCGAATTTTGTTACGTTCGAGCCCCCACCCCTCCAAATTAATTTGCGCCGTAACCTGTTGCGCGAGGGTTTAGTCCTTTGTCGAAAATCGAAACGTAAAGGTGTATCGTTATCTCGCGTGACATTTATTAACTGTACAACACTTCCATTTTTCACCATTCACATTCGCTGCTATTAACTTACGCCTAAACGTACGTATTTACTCAATACTTTATCGAATGTTACTAAGATATATCATGACAATTATCTTTTTTCTTCGAGCGTCTTTTTGGTTATTGTGTTCGCCGGTAATTCGTATTATAAGCGTTTCACCTCGAGCATTGTTTTTTATGATCATTTTTATGTTATTTCGCCCTTTCATGCATTTATTTGAAAGTTTTTGTTCTCTTTTGTACAGATCAAAGGACAGTGAGGAAGGGACGCTGTGAAATTAAAATGGACCAAATTCAAATGGACGCCATATTGGTTAACAATAAATCTGTTAGTTTCTTGTAAAGATGGTGGTGATGTTTGATTCGTTGTGTCGAAAGTTGAAATGTTCATCTTATTGTTGGTAACATTTATTCTATATTCGATCGATATATTTTCAAACAATTTATAGCACTGTAATTAATATGTAATATAATAATCTATTGAGAATATTAAGATGAAAATAGATGAGATTAAAGAAGCCTCTTTTATTTTAGATACGTTAAGTTATTTTTCTATTTTTTCGAGAATTTCCAGTGTCATTAATAATTTGTTACGTTAATAATTGATATGTAATACTTGTAAAAGAAATATTTCCTTAAGCAAACACTCAATAGGAAGAAGAAAAAAAATATTTAAAAAAATATTTTACTTCTTTTCTTTATTCCTTCTATAACTTGTAATAAAACTTTTCTTTCAGAGAATTTTTGTGGTCGCGCGCAATGCGATCGGTAGAGTCAGTGCTTGTTACGTTATGTCGTTTTCAATATTTTTCAGAGCAAAAGCTCTCGTTGAATTTAATCATAATAATTATACGCGAAATTAGAGTCAGTGTGTTCGCCGATTGTTACACAAACGCGTTAATAGTCTTCTTTTTTTTTTTTTTTTTTAAACATTCGTTTTCGGTATTAGAGTCACAGGTCTCGCAAGAGGATATAGCCTCTCCTGGAGCTCAAAAATGTAATTATTTTATTCTTTTTATTTTTCTTGAAATTGTTCAATAAAAATGCTTAATTATTAAAGTTTTAAGTTTGAACAAATCATAATAGTTCACATGTTCTTTTGAAGGTTTTCCACAACTTTTATTTTTTCCTGAGCCCCGGGAAGGATATGCTGATGCTTCAAAACTAAGCATGTAAGAATCTCTGAATATTGTATTCCAATTAATTTTTATAATGAAATTTAAATTCTCGTAGTGTTAGAACTATATTAGAATTTATATTTTAAAGGTTTTGCATTCCTTCCTCTTCTTCCTGTTCCCTAAAAAAAAGGACCTGGTGGTGGTTCAAAAGTCAAGAATGTAAGTAACTTTGTATTTTCTACTTCATTTGATTCCATTTTTTGTATTTTATGTTAATTATTGTTAATTGAGAAATAGAATCTAATTGAAAATCTTTTACTTCTAAATTATAATGTTATTATTAAAGTGTATGTGCTTAAAAGCGTTTTATGAGAATAGATTATAATATTTATGCTTTATTGCAGATTTCTTCCAACTCTCCATGAGACTCAACGATTCCTATTTGATGACATGCTTCATGATGATTTCTCCTAGGCCACAACTGTATCAATGATAACGTTCTTGCGTAATTGTGAGTCGCATGCTTTTTGTTCCTCTGGTCACTCAATCATGTCGTAGGATGAAAGATCCGAATCGGCACGGGTGATTGGTTGTATACGTAGAATTTTAAACGAGCACAGTGACCACGGGTATTTATTATACCCGTGAGTAGTAACATTTTCTTCTCTGTGTTTGACTTTTTAGTTCAGGATAGGTTTTCTTGCACGTCGCGTTTTTTTAATATTAATAATAATGCATTAATAATTAATATGAGTATAATATCACAGTATAAAGAATTGATATATGACAATGTTGATTGTTATGTATATATTATGTGTAATTGAAAATCACAAATCTATTCATTTTAATTATTTGTAAAATCAATATGAGTATATTTGAATGTATGTATACCAAGTATATATACATGTATGTATACATACTATGTATATTTGAATGTATATATGAATATTTGAATGAATGAATACAACATATGTTGTAAATGATTTTATTTGGATAGTTTATAGTGGAGAAGTCGGATACCCTTCGACTTCGTTTCTATGAATATTGCAATTTTAATTGAAAATATTTTATAGCTAACATGATATTTAATTTTACTTCGTGTTCTGCGATAATACAATCAATACAATAATTTCAATTTAAAGTCTTCTATCCGTCTAAGAATGTACACATACATTTGTGCAAGAAGACACTTCGCGACAGGCAGATTTCAGAATCAAAGCAGTGATTTCAAACGCTACTTTTGTATTTCCAGAAGTGTGCTTTGATGAAGGAATCGCCTGAGGATATTTCTATTCCATTTACAATTAGCTTGTTTCTTTTTCAATAAATATATTCATTGTTAACTTCTTGCTCAGTTATTTCATTGATTTATTAAATTATTCAATAAAGTAAATTATAAAGTAGAAAATTGAAATAATCAAGCGAATTTAGTCCGTTAGATACAAAATATACTAATTATCCTTTTAGATCAGGATTTTCAGGTTTAACCCCTTCCATGTTCATGGCCAGGATCTCACTCACGTGCCCAGGTGCTACTTGAGTGGGAGAAAGGCAATGAGCATGATGACCATAGTTCTTAAGCTTAATTTCTTGGCGACTGACGATGGGTTAGTGTATCGTACACGACGTACTTTCTACATTGTATGTGTGTGTGTGATTAGACTGTAGAATTGCGTCGTTTCTCCTATTATTCCAAGCAACGTATAACAGAGAAATATACATTAACGGTACTAAATTATTCGTACCTCTTATTCCAATAACATCACTTCTTCGGATAATGAAGAATGTTTAATCAATATTTAATTAATTAATAAACAATCTATGAATATTTAATTAAAATTCAGAATAGCAATCTAGTATTTTTTATCATATTTAACGCAATGATCGCTAGCCTTCGTCAGTCGATTTCAGTAGAATGGTACGTAAAATTAGAGTGTGAATGTGTGTGTGTGCTTGACACTCGGGTGTCGGAGGCGTCCCGGGACGTCCTCTCTAGCTTAGGTGTCTGCGCCCGGGTGTATGCGTGAGAACCGTGGAGCGAGTGTGTTGGTGTGTCTGTTTTTCTTTTGTTACTTTTTAAATATAGGGCGACTGGTTAGGATAGGTAGCTTACTTTCTGGTGTGCCTATGTGTAATTATAAGTAGGTAGGGCCGGGCAGGTTGGCACAGTCTCTGCTCGCGTGTGTCCTGCGTGTCCAACCTGTTTCAGGAAATCTAATTTGAAAAATCGACAGTGAAACTGGTACAAATGGAGCATGCCACTTGTTTCTGGAACCTGTTTCAGGAAATCTAATTTGAAAAATCGACAGTGAAATTGGTACAGAGTGGAGCATGCCACTTGTCACTGGTTTTGCTCGTCGATCTTTCGAATTTAGTACCGCGGTCGCGGTCGCGGTCGCGATTAGAGGTTATGTTAGGTTATGAGTAAGTGCCGAAACGAAACGTTTACATAGGTTATTGCTCGAGCACATGCGAACGGACAACGATCACTATGATCGATGGTCGTCCATGTACAATTGAATCAGCTTCCGCGAGTTTTATATCTTTTTATTTCACCTTTGTAAGTTACTTTTTGGTTTGCGATTAGAAAGTCTCGAGCGTAGATGTTAAGTTTCAGCGGGCATGGCGCCCGAAGAAAAGAAGAGGCCCGGCAAACTGCCATTGAAGAGGGCTGCAACGAATGGCTCATCATCCTCTGAATGGGAAATCCATTCAGAGCATGGGAAGCCATATTCTTTGTTACTACTTTGTCACTGTGCTCGATTTTAGCATTTGTATCACGTAGTATTTTTTTTTCCTTTTTTTTGTTTCTGATCGATGCATGTGTCGGTCCACCATCATCATGGGCAAATCGCGATGTTGCGAATGAATCGTTGAATTTCGGTTTGAATTAGAGCCACGAATATTTATTACGTCGGTTTGCATTAATATCGATTGTTCTTGGAAACGTTTTTATCGTGAATTGTTGTTAAGATTCTTGAAGAGTGATAACAGAATTCGTCGTTTTTTATTTCATTTAATATTGCAGATGAATATTTATAATATATAATATAATTTATAATTTTATTTACATTACATATATAATTATAATTAAATATAAATATAATTTTATATTATTACATATATAATTATAACTTCGAGCTGATTTCATGATATTTTATCGTGTATTTTTCTCTTTTAAGTAGATATAATATGTCATTTCAAAAATTAGCGTTGCGTTGATAAATAATCGCGTTTCTAAAGTAGCATTGCGTTTATCAAGTGCCCAATCTCTTCCACTGAGATCGTGGAAGTATGTTCTTGAATCACCTGATGCTGATAGAAAAGCTGTACAGAGGTGGTCTCCTCCACAGTACGCCTGTATTGGATTCTCGTGATTAGTGTTGCGAAATAAAAGAGATGTTTCACTCACTCTCTCTCTCGGTTTATTGTTCGGGTTTATATTGAATGAGTGATTGCATTTTAGTAGCTCTTCTGGCTACTTTTCTTTTTTTTTTTTTCTTTTTCAGCGCCCCCTATCTCTAGAGTGTTTGCTATTGAAAATATATTTTTTGTTCAATAATGATTATTCTTTAATTCTTTTGATATTATGTATATAATTACTATGATTTTGAAATAAATTTTATATCGAAGAAGATAAAAATTTGCAACAATGCAATTGTTACTGAAATATTACTTTACTCGAAACATGTGATTTAAATTTATTCTTTTTTCATCTTAATACTGAAAATAAGTATCTAATTTTTTTTACTCCTTCAATTCAAATTTTTCAGTTCAGATATTCACATTCAAATTGCTTTGAATTTCCATAAATTTGTTTTTCTTCCCAATATTTTCATGTACTAATCCAAAAATAAGTTTGTTTCAGATTTATTAATTTGCAAGTAGATATACATATGAATAATGAAATACAAATGGAATGAATAAAATATGTATGTGTACATATTGGCTCAGAATGAAATAATGAGGATCAAAGAAAATTATTAAAAATGAGGATAAGTATAAAGGAAATACATTTCCTATTGGTAATCAATTTATGTTTTAAAGAATTTTATTAAATTTGTTGTGCTTTAAAGTTGTTCCAGGAATCATTGTGACATCAATAGAAGAAGATTAATATTTTACATCTCTCATACAATATTCATATTCATTTCCCTCCCTGTCCCTTTATTATAGTTTATAGAACAAGGAATTTTATTTAAATAATAGATTTATGTTAGATATTTTGGTAGAGAATCTTTAAATTAGTGCATGAGTAGGTATATGCTTAATAGTGTAGTTAATACTGCCAGCAGTATTGTTTTCTAGAGTTATTAATTCATGCTTAATACAATGCTTGCATGCTTAATTAAGAGCGATATTTCAATAGATAAAGTAATATAGTAGTATAATTCTTTATGAGACATGTTTCATTTTATTTTTATACTTTTAAAGTGTCGATTACTCTATATTTTCATACCAATGACAACATTACTATTAGTATGAAATATTGTTTCATAAAAAGTTATAACTGTAGTTTAAATTTGAAATAATATCATTGGATCACTATTAATTTATGTTGAATTATTAAAATTTAGAATATTTGATACTATAGATACTTTGTATTTCACATTATCCAATTCTTGAATTAAATTAAAAACTCTAAAACCATCAATGAATCAGTTGACTTCTAGATTTTCATCTTAGATTTTCGCTTTCTCATGAAGCTTCTTTTGCTGTTTGATTTGCACAACGATCAAAGGGTTGAACGTTTTGCAAACATACGACAAAAGGAGAGTTTGTTCAAAGTTTTTTGTACAAAATTAGTTATATTTTTTGCGTGCAAAAGGAGAGTCTTCGTTCACAGCATCTCCACGTGGTGAGACTTGGGCAATCCTATTATTTGATATATAATCAAATTGATATATCAAAATGATATATAATCATTGATATATAATCAAATAATCAATAATATACATGTGTTATATAGCAAATAATATGAGCTGATTATATGTTATTGTTGTTTGTAGTTTCATTGTAGTTAGAAAATTTGTAATGATGTCATTATTGTAACAATATATCAATATATTGCAAAAGTGATTAACCGAGTAGTATAGCATTCTGTTTAGCTAGATGTTATTTAAAATAACCGTGTGTTAATTCATTTGAGCATAGAAATATAATGTGTTAATAAAATTTCAATACAATGAGAAATTACTTGTCAAAGATTATTTTCTCTATGTTATTTCTGAGATAAAAATAATAAATTGGTTGGAATAATTCCAAACAAAATATCCCCAAAGCCTGAATAATAAAATTATACGTTTGTCCTTCACTTTGTCCTGGCTGAAAATAACTGGCCGATGAAACATCTGGTGATTTAAAAAATGAATTACTGATAGAGTGTCGTCCTCTTTTCTGAAGAAAAATGAACGCAAGGTGAAGAGATTGATTCGTACGATCCTGAGCAACGAGAAACGACAGATCAACGAGCCGTGGAGTGACTTATGGCTGATTGTGTTCGAGTGTAGAGAAGAGAAGCAGAAGAAAAGATAGCGGCTTCTGCGAATGTGGGTCAGTAGAGAGGAATGAATGCGCACAGTGTTTTCCAGTTTACCGACATCAACCAACACTGTCACCATGCGAGCGTATTGCAAATTGAACGTCCTTGATAAGTGCTTCTCTGGCAAAAAAGTTGGCATACGAGGTGACTTCTTCAGTCCTGAAAATGAAAGGCCATTTTATTATTCAGCACATGAAATTATCAGCGAATAATCAATAACACAATTATTGCAGGTTTTTGGAAAAATTTTAGAAAACTATGAAAAGAAATGATGAGGGGAAGACATCATGACAAGTGTATTATCTAACGAGTTAACCAAATATTAACTAGTGGTTAATTGAAAGTTATAATGTAAAAGATTTGATAATTTGTCAGTGAAGAGTTATAACTGTGCTGCTGTTGGGTACAAAATCTCTATGAAAAAAGCCAGTTATGATTAAAAATTAAGTATTAATGTTAAACAATACAGGCGCATAAAAATCCAAGTTGCAATGTCAGAACAAAAAGGAAGCGGTGGGTGAGAAAACACGGCGATTGTGTGGCGCACAGTTTTCTGAAAGCTCTCTTATGAATGTGTAAAAAGAAGAAATCAAGGGTAGAGACAAGTGAGGAGACTCGTGTGAACCGGATTTTATAGTGGTGGCAGCTGTCGAGGGGACATGTCGACAACTTCTGTCCCACTCCCACAGTGAGCATGCATAAAAAGAAACATACTAAAAGGTTTGGTCGAATAGAAACCAATGGAAATCTCTTCGCCACGATATCATCTGCAATTAGATGATGCTGCGTTGAAATCACATCACGATACATAATCCAAAATATGATTTCAATGATACCTCAGTTGTAATGTAATGTACCTCAATTTCGAGTGTGTGATAAATTGATGAAATTGAAGGAAATAGACATGATGTTGCTTTGATGTGGCCGATGAAGCAGAATCAAGACGGAAGATAGAAAAAAAACAGGTTCTTACCGAGAAATGGATAATTCGAACCGCCTGTCGGCAACTAATTTCCTGTTTAAAGGGCGTGACTTAGAGAGTTGAAACGATTTTCTGACAAAGATCTGACCGACCACTCCTATTGCATATTTATTTGAAATCCATTTCCAATACTTCTCATTTAAGGATCCTAAAAAGGAAATTTCATTCGAAGGGATATTTGAGAGTTTATCACGGAAAAATTCAAAATTTAGGTGAAACTATGTGATTTAGAAAAAAAAGGAATAATTAGATTGTTGTTGAATGTTTGCACAATTATAGAAAACTGAAAGAGAAGCAAAAGTACATGGAAAATGTATATGTAAAAATATATGTAAAATATCTGGAAGTAGATGAAACAAGTTTCCATTTAAGTTTCGTTTCTTCAGTCGCCTTTGTGAAAATTTGAAGAATTTTCGCAGTTTTCTTGAGAAGAAGAATTTGAAGAACATTTGATGATTGTTTGTCGCTCGTTTCCCTCGAAAAGTGACAGTGACTTTTTCTTTTTTTTCTTTCTTCAACCGAGGAAACAGCTGTCCAACAAGAGTAACGACCTCCTCGAGCGATAGTGTAATGGGTCCACTTCTCTATTAAAACCGGAGGGCCGATTTTGTCACCTCTTCGATTCCCCAGATACTTGGCCCTCGACATCTGCGCAGGAAAGGATTTCAAAGCTTCATTTCCAACATCGAGGACGACTGAAAAATTTTACTTTTTTTTCTCTCTCTCTCTCTCTCTCTTTAGCCTGAGACAACACACGTTCACACGTTCTTCCCTCGATGTAGAATTTAT